GGACTTTAATATGCCAGGATGTCACGAAAGCTAGCCTTAGCTAGCTGGAGTTGCTCTTGCTTTAGCAAGTTAAGTGACGGGGTGGACGCACCTCAGAAACCTCAAATAATTGATTAAATCAATCTTATGGACCCCCCCCCCCCGCGGTTCGACTCCCCCCTGCGCGCGGTGAGCGGGACCACCAAGCAGCTGCAGCACACCAAGCATCTGCAGCGCCCAGCGCAGCAGCGGCAGCAGCAGCAGCAGCACCAGCAGCAGCAGCAGACCACCCAGCGGCAGCAGCAGCAGCAGCAGCACCAGCAGCAGCAGCAGACCACCCAGCGGCAGCAGCAGCAGCAGCAGCACCAGCAGCAGCAGCAGACCACCCAGCGGCAGCAGCAGCAGCAGCAGCAGCAGCAGACGACCCGGTGCCTGCAGAGCACCCAGCGCAGCAGCGCCCAGCGCAGCAGCGCCCAGCGCAGCAGCGGCAGCAGCAGCACCAGCAGCAGCAGCACCAGCAGCAGACCACCGGAAGCCCGGCTAGCTTTCGTTCACCCCCTCTGGCCTCAAGTTTGTTACACATGAGCTTCTTCAACCTCTGTACTAGGATTCCATAAAACAGGTTGACGCAGGATTCCATAAATGCTCAAAACCCTTAATTCCCGAATGCGTAGCGAAGGGTTCCCGTTTATAGTTGGGGGTCTGGGGGATGGAGCTGTGTTTGCATGGCTTGCGTCGTGTCATCGTTTGTCGTCGTTTGTCGTCGTCTGTCGTCGTCTGTCGTCGTTTGTCGTCGTCTGTCGTCGTCTGTCGTCGTTTGTCGTCGTCGTCGCGTCTCAAATTTGCTGCCATTGGGGGAAGCTTTTGCAAGTGACTTTTCATGGATGTGTCACGTGTCAGTTTGCGCCGCTATTCCATTGTGATTTGCATGATAATGGCATGTCGCGCAAGAAACGTGATGCATTTCGCTGCACAGGCGCAGCGTTTTGTGAGATCCACAGATAGCTGCGCAGTTCCATTGGGATTAGCGTTTGGAGAGTCGTGTTTTTGGGGTGTTGGATGTGGCCGTGCCATTGGGATTTGCGTTTCAGGGTGTGACATCGAAGCTCGGTTTTCTTGACAGGTCTCAGCTGAAATGGCGATTTTGGTGGATGGGAGTGTGCTCAGAACGGGTCGAAATCATTCCAAACGTGTGGCGTGGTGCAAATTTTGTTGAAGCTCACATGAGATGATATTGTGACTTTTCGTGGCAGGCGCAGGACTTTGCGCGAGCTTTGAGGCGTGGAAGTGCGATTCTCGTGGCAGGCGCAGGGAATCGTGAGGTTGCGAGGTGTGACGGAGGTGACATTTCGTGGCAGGCGCAGTACTTTGTGCGCGTTAGACGTGTGGACGCGGAAAGATTCGTGGCAGGCGCAGGGAATCGTGAGGTTGTGAGTTGTGGTATAGAGGTGAATGTCGCTGTCACATTGGGATTGGCATGTGAGCGGATGTTGTTTGGAGGGGCTGGAACCGCGAAACTGTTTGGCAGGGCTGCGTGATGTGTGTGCTCCGATGGGTGTTTCCGCTTGACTTTTGGAGGAAGTCTCGTACGAAACGCTCGTTTTGCAGACTTTGACGTGTGAGTTTTTGAGGAAGTCTCGTACGAAACGCTCGTTTTGGAGACTTGACGCGCAACCCTCTGCGGAGATCGTGCGTGTCGAGCGCGCGAAATGCAGGCGAGCACTGGCGACTTTGTAGTACAACTTTAGTACGCGGAGTATCTGAGGAGCTGGACTGAGAACTGGCGACTTTGTAGTATAACTTTAGTACGCGGAGCAATCTGGGGAGCTGGAAGAGTGTCCCACAAGAGTGTCCCGCAACAGTGTCCCACTAGAGTGTCTCACAAGAGTGTCCCACAAGAGTGTCCTACGAGAGCGCCCCGTAAGAGAGACCCACAAGAGTGTCCTACAAGAGTGTCTAACAAGAGTGTCCCACAAGAGTTTCCTACAAGAGTACAAGAGTGTCCCAAATGACCCACAAGAGTGTCCTACAAGAGTGTCTCACAAGAGTGTCCCAGAAGAATGACCCACAAGAGTGTCCTATAAGAGTGTCCCACAAGAGTGTCCTACAAGAGCGCCCCGTAAGAGAGACCCACAAGAGTCCTACAAGAGTGTCCAACAAGAGTGTCCCACAAGAGTGTCCCACAAGAGTGTCCTATAAGAGTGTCCCACAAGAGAGTCCCAAAGCAATGCCCCGCAAGAGCTTCGTACAAGAGTGACCCACAAGAGTGTCCTACAAGAGTGTCCCACAAGAGTGTCCTACAAGAGTGTCCCACAAGAGTGTCCCACAAGAGTGTCCTGTAAGAGTGTTCCACAAGAGTGTCCTACAAGAGTGACCCACAAGAGTTTCCTACAAGAGTGTCCCACAAGAGTGTCCTACAAGAGTGTCCCACAAGAGTGTCCCATAAGAGTGTCCCACAAGAGTGTCCTACAAGAGTGTCCCACAAAGTGTCCCA